TTATATGTGCTATAAAACTTGTTTTTATTTATAGATAAATTTTATTCGTATTTTGTTGTGCGGAGAAACTTGTATAAAGCAATGCGTTAAAAAAGTGATAACAGCAATACTGTCACAAAGAGTCGAAATGCAATATTCCGCTTTCGGAAGGCAAGCCAATGGAATTAGAAAAAGGGATTTTAGCCGTACACAAATTTATTCCTGTTTGAAAGGTTAATATAATGAGTAAACGTTAAACTTGCCGTTACTCTTTGCAAATATATTTGTTGCAGATGTATTGCTGGAAACATTTGGACAGAACGAGGAGTTTAAACGGCTATCGACTGTTTTAAGCCGTTGGTTGTCTGGAGCCGTTGATCGCGAAGGAGGCCGAAAGAAACGGATACGTCTGGCGGAGTAAGAATTTATATTTTATAATATATACTCGCATCTGTACTTACACACACATACACACACGTTATAATAACAAATTTTCTGCTGTTATTTTCAGAGCACCAGTTGCTACGATACCATCAACTGAGTAGAGAGAACATGTTTCAGCTTTTCGCAATTTCTCGCTATATTTTTACTTATCTTATTACTTTTGTACTTACCTTTACTTACGTGCAATTATTTTGTTTAAAGAGAATAAACTTTATAGATGCAACTTTAAATTATTATCATATCTTAATGTACTACACACAAGTGACAAATGATAATGATCCAGTGATGGCATTTAATATCTACGTTGGCAGTAATGTAAAATGTGCTATTATTAAATTATTTTACATTGTTAACATTTCAACACTAGCTTTTTGACGTTTTTATTTGACGAACGCTTCAGTACACATGTATTGGCATTGTACACATGTATACACATTGTATAGACATGTATGTCTATAATATTTTATTGTTTTTAACAATCTGTCATATATGTGCGAATGGATCCTTCTTAAATTATAACTATTCATAAAAAATGTTGTGTGTATAATTAATAATATTGTGACGGGTCGCGAGCGTCTTGCGCGCGGGCTCGTCACTCGAGGAGTTTCCCTTCGTGGGGAGGCCTTAGATGGCTCGCCGGTGTCCGGGATCGGAGGATCGGGAGGAGGGAATAATTGTCGCTCTACGGAATACCAAAATAATCGTTTATTTAAGCGTTACACTGCGGTACGACGGACGCGGGCTTAGTCTAGGCGGACGCGCGGCTCTTCGGACGAGCGGTCGCGATCGCGGAATACAATTCGCGGAGGACGCGGTCGCGAACAGAGGATCGGCGGATGCGGACTTATTCTAGGCGGACGCGGGCTTAGTCTAGGCGGACGCGAGGCTCTTCGGACGAGCGGTCGGGGTCGCGGAATGACCCGGTTAGAGCGAAGGCGAGCTGGGGAGTCGGCAGCGACCGACGGAGACGGCGGACTCGCAACCCCAATCCCCAGCAGCCCGTATTCGCGCGGTAGGGTCGGGGTGCCGCGTGAGCACGGCGTCGAAAGGCGAGCACACCTTCGCGTAGCGGAGGTCGGGCTGCCGCGAGAGCACGGCGTCGAAAGGCGAGCGCACCTTCGTATGGCGGAAGTCGGGATGCCGCGTGAACACGGCGTCGAGAGGCGAGCGCACCTTCGTGTAGCGGAGGTCGGGCTGCCGCGTGAGCACGGCGTCGAAAGGCGAGCGCACCTTCGTATGGCGGAAGTCGGGATGCCGCGTGAACACGGCGTTGAGAGGCGAGCGCACCCTCGGATGGCCGAAGCCGGGATGCCGCGTGAGCACGGCGTCGAAAGGCGAGCGCACCTTCGTAGTCGCTGTGGCTGGGACGGCCGCAGCGACGGGAGTCTTGCTGGTGCCGGGAGTGCCCGGCTTTTATACCCGCGTGAATCCGCGTCGCGCTGCCCCCACCTAGGGCGCTGCGACGTCGGATCACGTGCAGATGTGCGTAAGGCCGCGTGGCCATTAAAGTGGCGCTAAGCGCCGTGTACACCGACACGTCGGATGTTCGGGCGTGTCGGTGTGGTCGAGCCCTCAGGCGCGGGCTCAGTAACTCTTCGTTACAATATTAATATCTAAATTAATATTAATATTTCATATTAAAATCTTAACAGAGAATATCAAGTATTTTAGTAATAGAACAATTAAGATTTTATTATTATCAATGTTGATATTATACGTCATCATTATTGGCTCATCACTATTTCTCATTCTTCAACCCTGGTTATCCCAATGTAATCCTGTACCGCGCCAATATTTTTTGCCAACGTTGGCTGCAGTTGTTATCCAATGCTTAAGTAGTACTGAGCCATTGTTACTGCCAAGATTGCGTCAGTATTAGAAATCTGGCAACCAGTGGTGGGACAGTACTACGCCGGTCGTAATACCTATACTGCGACAGATCTGGCTCAACGTTTGGGCAAGTACCGCCCACCAGTATTGGGCCCAAGTTATCATCCGTACCTCGACCAGTATTGCGCCAGAAGTTTTACCAGTACTGCACCAGTATCCGAACTACTGCAACCAGAACTGGCGCAGCACTGGCCCGATTGTAAATTCCTATATGGGATAACATCCTGACTGTTGGAAAATTCGTAATATCCTATTTCATCTATCGCGTTGAGCAATTCCTTGAGATATTGATACTTCAACTGATGTAATGATTTCGAGTATACGTACAGATTCTCATATCGCACTCCGTGCGGACTTTCTAAAAGACTAATCAGAACATTCGTTTTTCCGCAATTGGACAGAGTGCATCATCGTGAATCTCGACGACGCCGCGTCACCGGGCACCCACTGGATCGCTTGTGCCAAGAAGGGTGATCGAGCCATCTATTTCGACAGTTTCGGAAATCTCAAACCTCCGCTCGATATCAGGAAATATCTCGGACACAATGTAAGCCTGTCGTATAATTATCGTCCTTATCAGACGCTCGATCAGAGCAATTGAGGTCAGCTGTGTTTGCAATTTCTTCGCGAAATCGACTGGCAACGCTTCGAGACGAAATTGTGATCTCTATTTCATCATCATCATCATTATCATCATGTCGTCGATAACGTTTACACTTTCGGGAAACAGCAGCGTTCTCACCGCGAATTATTTTCCCCCCTTGAATCTGAACGACGGCGATTACGAATTGGAATTGATGAATTTGGAAACGTGCAACACGATATCGAACGTTACAACGACAAACAACAAATTTTATATCGACAACGACGAACCTATCATAATTCTTACTGGTTCGTATGAATTCACCGATATCGAGAGATACCTGAGATCGGCAATCCGGCAACGAAGAAAGAAATCGAAAGAAAGAAAAGAGGTCGATAGGTTAGAAGAAGAGCGATTCTCCACCCCTAACCACGACAACGACGACATCTATTATTTGTGTACAATACAGGTGACGATGAGGAAACGTCGTAAACGAGCGAGGATCACTCACTCGTTCTTCGCGCGAACGAGAACACCATGAGAAGCGAGATTTTGTGCGCCTATTGAATAGATTTCACAAAACTGAATAACATTGGCTCTCTCTTGGGTTTTTCCGCGCGTATCTTGTCTCCGAATATTTGACACATGAGCGACCAACCGATCGATATAATGAGTGTGAATATCATTCGCGTGGAGTGCAACATCACCACAGGTGCTTACAACAACGACAGATTGGTTTACGCGATACACGAATTTTCGCCGAACGTTCCGCCTGGATATAAACTGTCGGTGAATCCGCAGATCATTTACATGCCGATCATCGCGAGAAGCATCAGTGACATCACTCTGAGTGTGATGGATCAGGACACAAAACCGATAAATTTTCATGGCGAACCGGTGACGATAAGAGTGCACGTACGAAAAAAGGTGACATAAATAGAAGTGAAAATAATAATAATAATATGCTCATTTGTGAACAAATATGCTCGTGGTGAGTGATTTTTTCGTCAGAAAAGAATCATCGTCTGTTGTTCCGCCGCCGCCGCCATCATGTATACTTTCCTCGTCATCGTCCTCTCCTTCTTCCCTCTTCGCGAAAAAGAAAAAACGCGCAAAACAACGATATCGTCCACTTAATACGGCAAACGTTGTCTTTCTACGATCATTGAGATTTCAGATCTCAGATCATTGAGAAACGTAACGACACCATGCTAACTGACATTCTCAATATCGAGAGTAGACCGACTTTCGACCATCGCGTCACCAAAATCGAAATCCATATATATAATCCATACGCTAATACCACATTCGATTATAACGATGAGATACGAATACCTATTCAGCAACAAGATCTGTACACGCTGCTGTGTGACAGCTTTCTCTACATCGAGGGAAGACGAAACGACGAATCGAACAATAATAATTTGGCACCGCCCGCCTTACCGAAGACAGCCGCCAGATTCTCGAACAATTGCGCGGTGTTTATGTTCGACGAGATACGATACGAGATCGATGGCGTGGAAATCGATAGATACAGAAACGTGGGAATTACAAGCACCTTGAAGAATTACGCTCTTCTGGACAGAGGAAGAAGCAAAAAGTTGGAAAACGCCGGCTGGTTATTGGAGAACGACAAATCGTCGTCGTTACACGAATTCAACATTTGCATGCCGCTGGACATGCTGTTGGGCTTTTGCAAGGATTACAAACGCATAGTGATAAATGCACGGCATGAATTGATATTGATACGCGTGCGTAGCGACGCGAATTGTTTCGTGACTGATCAAGAACAACAGCATCAACCCAAGATCACGCTATTCAAGGTGCAATGGCGAATACCGCATATCGTACTGAACGACGTGAACAAATTGTCGCTGTTGCGTACTCTGGAAAACGGTAGATATCTGAGCATGACTTTTCGCTCGTGGGATCTGTACGAGTATCCGCTGCTACAAAGCACCACGAAATATTCGTGGGCCGTGAAAGCCGCGACGCAATTGGAAAAATCGCGATACGTCGTGTTTGCCTTGCAAAACAATCGAAAAAATATGTTGAACAAAAACGCTTTCGTATTCGACCACTGTAATCGTTCGTTTGACGAACGTCAAATTGTTCCTGAATTTTGAATTTTATCTCTACGACGACATGAATTTGAATTTCAAAGTACGCAAAATCGCAATATTGTACGATATGTACTCGAGATTTCGCAAGACGTATTACAGTCTCGAAACGGACGACGAGTATATGACTTTGGAGAATTTTCTATAACACGGCCGTTCGTTGTGGTCGATTGTTCGCGTCAGAATGAATCGATCAAGAACGCAACCGTCGACATTCGCATAGAATTCGAATGCAACGAGAATGTACAGAACAATACAACTGCATACTGTCTCATCATTCACGATCGATTGATCAAGTACAATCCGCTCACCAATGTGATGCGTAAAATAATATAATCATCGTTGAATCCGCGCAAAAGAGGAAATGTCAATCATTTTCTTCGTTCTCTCAGAGATAAACGATATCGCTGACAGCTGCGACTTATCCTTTTTGCACATATTTTTCCTGTTGATGGTTGCGTATATAAAGCAGAATCGTACACAAAATTCTAGCATAATTCCGTCGATTTGTGTGGTGAAAAACAACACGTTCGCTCCGCACACTTGTTTTTGAAAAAAATCGTCGTCGTTTCAGCGAAGAAAACAGAGATTACGTTTTGCGATGCTGCCGCCGCTGCAGAGAGAAAATATCTTGACCGAGCATGAGCTGACCGATAAAACAAAAAAATAATACGCCTGCGTTGCAGCGGAAAGCGACGGAGACAACGCGCGCGCGCGCACGATGTTGCATCTGTTGATCGCGCATCTAAGAAAAATCGGCGTAAACATACCACTGTGATACCGTGGTACTGCCGCCGCGGCCGCCGCCCTGACCCCCTCGAGTCACTAACGCTCCCCCTTATCGTGCAACATTTCAATTAGTTGGTCGCGCGCGATAATGCGACCTTTCTCGTCGATGTTGACGGTACCCTATCAGCTAACAGAGATTGAGACTGTCGCGACCTTCGTCGCGCGCGCGTCGCCGCCGATTGGTGCGTGCGGCGCATCGCGCCGATAGCGCTCAATCGGCCGACAGATTGAGACTTTTTTAAATAACCAACGGTCGATTGGGGAGATTAACGAGCGCGCGCGCGCGCCATCTCCCTGACGCGTCGCGTCAACAGCGCTCAGTCGGTTTTGCAAATTGTTGTTGCTCTCGATTCAGCCGGCCGATTCTAATAAACCCCGCCCCATTCTCCCGTTTACGCTCAAACAATTGATCGATTAAGAAGTTCAAAAACGAATACGCCCCCTGAGGTGGCGGAGATGTGCGGCTCCCCGCTTGCCCCTGTGCCCACGCGCCCATCGCTTGTGGGTTTCCTCGCGGGCACCCCTCCCCGCTCCTCGTAGCGACTAAGTTTCAAACGTAGCTTGTATGATCTACTTGAGCGGAATTGTGGTGGACCGGTGCAAGTGGAGTCGCGATGGTCGATCGCTCTTGGGGCGACGCGGCGTCGTAGTACGACGCTTGCGAGGAGATCCGACTGTCGGGCAGTCAAGAGCGATGACAGAGACGATGAGTGCGCCTCCTATATGTTCCTCTATGTTCCGCGACTGCCAGGATCGTCTCGATTTCGGAGCGACTTCGAGGGAGGATGAACGCACCTTCTCTATCGGTCGGTTCTTCAGGAGTTGGAGAGTCAAAAGCGCTTGACAGAGACGATAAGCGCACTACCTCTAGATCCCGAGACTTTTAGAGCGGATCGGTCAGCCGATGAGCTCACCGGCTGGGATCCTGGAAGGTTGACGTTGAGGATGACTGCCATCGAAGTCTCCTTCGCCGCTGTACTTCGCGTACGGCTTATATACACGCCGATTCGTGGATTTCGCACATACACCGTTCACCCCACTTGGGGCAATTCGGCGGCGTTACCGCGAGTCGGCAGTGTGACAACGCTGATTTGGCGCGTAGCGCCGTATTTCACGGCTCGACGGCTGGTCGATCGTGCCGTAATGACAAAGTGAAAAACGCCTCGTTTTAATTTGGCCAAATAGAATTCTCGAAAATAAATTCAACTTGTTTAAACATATTTTTTTAATTATTATAATGATAAACCCAAAAATAAATTCATCACGTTTGCATTAGTTGGTTTAAACACTAATAAGCGCAGATTATGATTCTGTCATCCGACAAAACCCCTGCAAATTTCATGGAAATCGCATAATTTTTAAAATATTTAGACATCATTTTAAATTTTGAAATTTTGAACCGGAATCGGATTCAGCGACGCAAAAAATCCTCCCTGACGCAGTCGTCATATAAATTCAATACTCTTGTGGAGATCACTTTTGGCCCAAAAGCATATTTTTCTGTTGACGCTAAAGAGGTTAATATTAGGAGTGTCCATTAATTTTAAGGAATTTTTTTTATAAAAGTACGGCTTTATTGTGAAAAAATTGTTACAATTTGATCATTCAAAACATTGTTCATCGCTAGCCACTACTTTTTCCCATCTTTCTGGTAACAGGTGGATTCTACGTCGAAAGAACCACACATCTTTTGAGACTATCCACGAATCGATCCATTTTATGGTATCCTCATAAGAATGGAAGCGCTGCTCAGACAGGCCATAAGTCACCGATCGAAATAGGTGGTAATCGGAAGGAACAATATTTGGAGAATACGGTGGGGGTGGTAGGACATCTCAATTAAGCGCTTCTCATGTTTTCTTGACTGGTTTCGCAACATGTAGCCGTGCGCTGTCGTGTTGGAAAATCACTTTGTCGTGTCTTTTTGCGTAATCTGGCCGTTTTTGCTTCAATGCTCAGCTCAATTGCATCGATTATTGTTTGTAGCGTTCCCCAGTGATGGTTTCGTGGGGTTGGAGCAACTCATAATATACTACACCCAGCTGATCCCAACAAATACAGAGCATGAGCTTGGCACCATGAATATTCGGTTTTGCCGTTAATGTTAATGATTCGCTTGGCCTGCACCATGATTTTTTGCGCTTCGGATTATCGTAGCGTATCCATTTTTGATCACCCGTCACGATACAATGCAAACAACTTTTTCTTCTGTGTCTTTGAAGTAACAATTCACAGGTCATTTTGCGTCTTTCGACGTCCCTCGACACCCAATTTCCTTGCTTTTGAATCATTCCAATGACCTTCCAACGTCTGAAAATCGTTGATCGATCAACATTTAATGATTCTGCAAATTCTTGCGTTTTACTCGAATCTTGATCGAGTAAAGCTTCCACTTCCTCATCTTCAAACTTTTTCGGCTGGCCTGGACGTTCCTTGTCTTCCGTAAATCGCCTTTATAGTGTCGGAACTAGTACTCACATGTTGAAATCGATGGAGTATAATCACTATAAGCTTCCGACAACATTCGTTGACTTTCAGCAGCACTTTTCTTCAAATGGAAGCAAAAAAGCAAAGCTTCCCGCAAATTTCGTTTTGTTGGCACAAAATTTGACATATTTAATGCTCAAAAAAACAATGTTGTTTACATTTCGGCAAAATGACACATATTGAAAACTACAACCACGTGATGATGCTTTGACATGAAGGTAGCAACAATATGGCCCGATGCGATATAGTATTAGTTACGCCATCTCTTGAAAATCCTTTAAAATTAATGCACACTACCAATAAAAGAAAATTTGTGAATAATGACGCGAGATATGGTAGATGAGCTATTTTGGCGACGTCTGCCATCGTGTATTTGTATATTAGTTATATTACAAACTGAATACAAAAAAGTTCTCTTCTATTTTCTTAATAACTTTGTAAAGTTTTAATTATCCAATTGAAGAAAATTTGTTTTTCAACTAAAAATAATTGACGGATGGTTGCGATGATATATTAATATTATCTAATTAATAACAAAAAATGTACAAGTTAAAGGAAAAAGATAGAGGACTTTTTTGTTTAATTTGATCTAATATATAAACATACGACAGCAGATATTGCCACTATAACTCATCTACTGTATCTCGCGTAATCATTTACAAATCCTCTTTAATTAATATCTCAATAATTATTGTAAATATCGCAAAATAATATAGGACTTTTATGTTTATTCTAATCCATACTATCCTCCGCGAAAGCTTCGAAGATTGTTTTGGGATATTGGTATATGTTATATACAGGATGTTTCCTCTTACTTGAACACTTAGGATATATCTATTTCCTTTGATAATATAAAAAAAAATGAAAATTGTTCGATTCAAAAGGATTATTCTGATAAAGCAAACATCTTTTTTTACTGTCATTTTTTATAAGATTTCAAGGTCAGTCATTTTTTTATAACGTATTTTTATTAACGCAACGATGTAGCTTACAAAAAAAAAACAAATTTTATCATATGGTATATGTTGACTTTCAAATGACTTTGAATTATAAAAATCACGTTTAACAAAACAAACTGAAAATTTGTGTTTCATTACAAAGATGTACATTTTTCTACAGAAAGTATTCAATATGATCACCGTTAACTTCCAACACTTTCCAATACGATAAATAAAAGATTGTTTCACACTTTCAAGAAATTCCGATATCGATACTGCCTATTTCACAGAATAGTTGAATCAGTTTATCAAAAGTAACTCTAGATGGACAGCGATGGCAGGATGTTTTTCCGCGTACAACTATGTTGCGTGCACAGAGTTTCTCTTTGATTCTCCATAAATTAAAATTATTTCCGTTTTCTTTTCTAAATTAAACATTCTTGATATGGCACAGATACTAATGGTACTCTGGTTTCTATTCAAAGTATGTTTACATATTGGGTTGGCAAATAAGTTCGTTCGGTTTTTTAATCGGAGTAGGTTTACTCGTTCTGCTATCTCTTTTCCACAGCGTTATCGCACAACGCGCTTGCGCAGCTGAAAAGCGACGTTCCACCTAACCTATTTGTAAACATACGCCGGTTAATACCAGAGTATTGTGCGTACTGCACGGTTGCAAATATGGAAGAAAAGAACGTCCATTTTCGCCATATTTTACTTTTTTATTTCAAAAAAGGCAAACGAGCTGCGGAAGCTCATAAAAAGATTTGTAATGTGTATGGGGACGATGCTTTAACAGAACGTGTGTGTCAAAAATGGTTTGCCAAATTCCGTTCTGGAGATTTTGATGTTAGTGACGCGTCCCGTTCTGGTCGTCCAGCAGAGATTGATTCAGCTGTAATAAAGAATACCGTCGACAAAAATCCATCGCAAACAGTACGAGAGATTGCTACGACACTTAATATATCCCACACAAGTGTAGAAAACCATTTGCGTCAGTTGGGATACGTTTCTCGCCTCAATGTTTGGGTGCCGCACGAATTGACCGAGGCCAACTTAACCGCTCGCATTTCCATCTGCGTCGCGCTGCTGAAACGCCAAGAAAACGATCTATTTTTGAAGCGGTTGGTTACGGGAGATGAAAAGTGGATCGTCTACGATAACGTAGTACGTAAAAGATCATGGGGAAGCAGCAGTGAACCACCACAAACAACCTCGAAGGCAGGATTGCACCCGAAGAAAATTATGCTCTCAGTGTGGTGGGATTATAAAGGTATCATTTATTATGAGCTCTTACCATCAGGCAGGACGATCGATTCAACTGTATATTGCTCCCAATTAACGAAATTGAATCAAGCAATACGTTCAAAACGTCCAGAATTGGCAAATCGAAAAGGAGTCGTCTTCCACCACGACAATGCCAGACCCCATACTTCATTAACTACTCGGAACAAATTGTTAAGGCTTGGCTGGGATGTTTTACCTCACCCTCCTTATTCACCGGACCTGGCACCCTCTGATTATCATTTGTTCCGGTCGCTGCAAAATTCTCTGAACGGGAAAAACTTTGCTAATAATGAAGCTGTTAAAACGCAACTGGATCAGTTTTTTGCCGGTAAACCTCAGACGTTTTATGAATGTGGGATTATAAAATTGGTAAAAAGATGGCAAGAAGTCATAGAAAAGAATGGTCAATACATTATTGATTAGTATATATTTTGTATATTAAATAAATTGTATTTTATACCAGTCAAAAAAACCGAACGAACTTATTTGCCAACCCAATACATTCACTCAACACAGCTGTACGCGGAAATAGATCTTAGCCACCGCTGTCCATCCAGAGCTAGTCTTGTTAGACTGGTTCAAGATTATTTGAAGATCAACGTAGCATATACCATTAGATTGAATTTGTTTCTTTGTAAATTACATTACTGCGTTAATAAAAAATACGTTATTTTATTTAAAAAATATCGATAACCTTGAAATATCGTAAAAAAAAAATGAAGGTAAAAAAAGATGTTCACGTTACCAGAATATTAATCCTTTTAAATCGAACAATTTTCGCCTTTAACTTTTTTCATCAAAGGAAATAGAGATATTCTAATTGCTCAAGTTAGAGAAACATCCTGTATATATTGTGTTTAATTTAAAAAATTTTTCAATGTAAATTCAATATAAATTTAATAGAACATCTTGTATATACAGGGTGAACCACGCAATTGGAACGGGTTATATCTCAAGTTTGGTTAGTAATACAAAAAAATTGTAGAGGAAAAAGTTGAATGGTTTAAAAGGTTTACTTTTCTACGAGTTTACTTTTTTCATAAATGCAACAATGCACCTAAGAAATGCAAATGCACTCTTACTTTAAATGGAATAATATATTTTTTTTATATGGATCGATTCCTCGGAACAACCTGCGTAAAAATGTGTTAGGGTACAATATAAAAGAAATAAACAATTCGTGATATTTGATATTTTTAGTCATTTATTAAAGAATATATTCGAACGTTATGCTTTCACATAGTGTAGTGTAAAAACTTTTGGTAATTATCGACTTTAGGGGAGACAGCTCCAATGACCTTGACCTTGACATATGTTGTAAAGGTCACCTTCCTGAGTAACTCTCAGAAAGTTTTAGCCGTCGTTCGTTGTTCGTTAAAAAGTTATTAACAAAAGAAGTTGCATAAAATGAGTATAATTTTTGGACACTGTATATACAAATACTGTGTATCGTTAATGAGCAATATCGAATAATACTGATGCGCCCCCCGCACCCTTCCTCAAAACTAATCTAACCCAATCTATCATCACATTAACACAAAAGTTGAACACTTTAATAAACAATGACTGACGGTTAATGTGACGATAGGTTGGGTTAAGTTAGTTTAAGGGGCCCCCCCCGGCGTCCGCCGCCTTGCCATGGTGGAGGGGCCCGAGGTGCTCCCGGTGAAGCCCCGGGATGGATCCACCGGCTGAACTCATTCAGCCGGTGGTAGGTCCTGTGGGAGGAGGGCGCGCCCGCCAAGAGCGGACCTGTCGTGGTGGGCCGCGATCAGTAACAGGACCGTCGGGGCACATGTCCGGGCCCTACAGCGAGGGACTGGCAGCGTCAGTCCCGAACATACCGTTACCCTCCGCGCGCGTTATGTCATGTCTATGACGATGCGCGGGGGGCCGGGGACCTTGGCTTAGCCGCCCGGGTTGCGAGGAAGGGAAACCTCAGTAAAAAACCCCTGAATCCCAAGCTCTGGGCCGCGGTGAGGGGATGCATGGCCATCAGGTATGGTTAGTCGCTAGCGGTCCACCCCCCCCCCCGGG